ATATTGAGTTCCACGAGTGGTCATCCAATTGGCCCTGAAGCTGTCATTGTGGTGACTGACTTCATGGCTTGTGTGTCTGGCACTTTACATGCCCCCTGCTTCAAGCCTGCCAGGGGCTGTGGGAGCACTTTCACCCTGGTTCTGTTGAAACCCTGTGGTAAGAACACCACTTCCCTTCGGCAGTAACTGGAAAAATTGTGTGCATGGCTGGGGGTTCTGTAGATACAGGTAAGGCATAGTGTTTACGCCCATGTGGTGGTCGCTCTGGGAATCGGTCTGGAGACATCGAGGAGTGATCACCATGGTGATGCCATTGTGCGAATTCCATATGCATTGGGCGGTTTCAGCAAGCTGTGTAGGACTTCCATCTTCCTTTACTGCAAGGAAATTGCAGAGCCATGTAGGAATACCGCTCAAGAACACGAGTTCTGCAGGATCACCTATGGCATCACGGTGCCCTCCAGCTGCATGGGTGCTTGGCCTGGCAGCATCCAATTCTCATAGAACACCTTATAGAGGTCCGAGGAGGTGTAGGTACCCCGGAACTTACTTCTCAATGTTGCCTTGAATACTTCCCACTTAGTGATGTTATCAAATGATGGTGAGTTTATAATGAGCTCTGCTGGTCCCCTGCAATTGGCTCTGGCTGCCTGGATATATGCCTCAGATGTAGGTGGCTTGACAATATTTTCAATAGCTCTGATCCAACCCTCAACCTCCTGATTTCTTTTCAAGGGTTGGGAGGCTGAAACAACTCCTTTAAAGTGAGGTACCTTCTCCTTCGTGAATACATAAGAGACTGAGGGATTGCTGGAGCATGATGCAGGGAGGCCATTCGCAGGTGAACAGTTCCAACACCTTGTAGAGAGGTCCTTGTATGTGATAGGAGCTCCTTTCAGGTTAAAACTGGTGCGGCAGATATGGCTGGGTATTCTGCTGTAACTACGGCTGATGAGGTAAAAGACGGTCCACTGGCTCAGGGGTTTGAGGTCGGCTGCGAGGAAGAGGCTGCGAATGGTTTCCCCAGCTTGTGCAATACGAGGGGAAACTCGGGAGAGGCGAAAGTTCTTGTAACCTCCTTCGGAGCTGATGAATCTCCTCGTTCCTCTCAGCTGCCTGCAGAGTGGTGTCAGTAGGTGCAGTGACTTGCACACTTTTGGAGTGACGAGCTTCTTCCAGTTCAGCCCGTTGTTGCTGAAGCTGTTGGCGTAACTGCTGGATCTCTTCGCCTCTTTGTGCAGCTAAGGCCTGGTGTTGGCCATCACGCTCAGCACGATCTTCAAGCTGCTTCTATTCCCTGAGCATCTCTTGGCGCTGGAGTCGGTTCTCAAGCCTGTCGTTTTGTTCCTTGCACCCTTGAACCTCTGCAATTAGGGCGTTGACCCGCTCCATGATCTGGCTGAACATCTCGACTTCAGCTTCCATGACTCGAACTACCTCATGTACATCTGGATTAGAACCTCCAGTGACAACTGCCAATTGGTGGAGTTAAGACGAAACTTGGCTAGGAGATGGGTCACGCGAGGTGGGTTGGCTGTTAGACTGCAGGTTCCGTCGGCGTTGAAACCTCTCGGTCCGCTTCTGTCTCTCCTGTTCTCTATTCATGCCAGGAGCCACACTGAACACCTATTTCTGCAAATAAACTGCAACCACAATAAAAGTCACGAACCCTCGGCAAGACCACAAACAACAGACACGAACCCTGAGTAAGAAGTGAGCGTCGGTCATCAGAGCAAAGCTGCCAAGAAAACGGGTGAACACACAGGAAGGGTAAATCAAAGCGTCCCTAAGCTACGTGAGCCATAATATCTAAATGGGCAAGCCGGCGGTTAATTAAGAACATAATACAAAGCTGAAAAAAAGAAAGAACTAAAAAATAATGGGTGCCAGGCTTTAGACAAAACAAAAGCAAATCTACCCTGTAAAACGAAAAATAATAACACAACAATAAAATAATGGGTAAAAGAAACGGTAAACACAAAGGAGTAAAAGAAGTAACGCAGTAAAAAGCTGATACAGCAAAGTGAACGATCACAGAGAAAAGGAACAATCATTGTAAAAGAGAAAAAAAATAAATAAAAAGTGCCACTAATTTCAAATGCATAGCTCAAAAATCCAATGCGGTAAAGGCACAAAGATAAAAAGACGAGACGGGAAATAAACAGACTAAAGTTATACTATAGAAGAACACGGCGGTAGGCGAATGGTAAAAAAAAAAAAAAGAACAGTGGAATGGCCACACTAAAGTGAATGAAATAAATAAAATGAGTAAAAAGTGTAGTAAAAAGAACGCATAACTAGCAAAAACCGCGGGGAGTAAAACCAATAAAAGCCCACAGCAAGACGAACAAAAGTAAGATTGGACTAAAAAGAGAAATACAGACGTATTAAAACGCAGGAAAAAAATAAAAGGAGCCATAAAAGAAGTCCACTAAGGACAAAACCCGGTAAGATCAGTATAAGAGAGAACCGTAAAATTAAGGAATAAGAATTAAAGTAAAAGCAGTAAAAGATACAGTACGAAAAACACAGTAAAAAAAAAACAGTTGAATAAATTGAATGGGCTCACTCAAACTACTTTCCCCATGCATGACATAACCTATGTAAAGTAGCTATTCTGGATGTCTTAACGTCAAAGAGTGATACGAGAGTACGTAATCACGCACGTATGAATCCCACCGGATGCCGCCAAATTATCTGTGAGGTGTTCTTTTGCTCTGTGGATATTGATATATATATATATATATATATATATATATATATATATATATATATATATAAGTGTGGGTTCACAGTGTCTAGATGTTATGTTGTGGGAGCGTGAAGCATCTAGACACAAACAAACAAGCAAACAAAGAAAAAAAAGGACCGAGCATAAGCATCAACTCCTAGACGTTCAGCTTATGGGTTTTCTTTTTATACAGATAAGAAATTGTTTAGTGTTTATCTATAATTACCAGAAAAGGTAAAGTAACATGCTTAAGTGCAAATCGCAAACATTTGTGCCTAATAGAATAAATACAAAATATTGGGTAAAACTTCTACTTAATATTGAATAAAAAGCAAAGTAATTATGATTAACTGATTAAGATTATTTAGCCCTGTATGTGGAACAAATAAGAGAAAAAATGGAACACGTCCAGCTCCTCAGAAAAAAAAAAAAAAACAGACGTCAGCACACAGAACTTAACTTCTCTCGGTTTCGGGGAGCGTGGCCGCTTCACAGCGTTCCAGCTCACACAGGGGTAATGACACACGGGGTATCTGGTCCAGACTGAGTATATTTTTGGCGGTATTTATAGTATTCGTGACGTACTATAGTGTTCGTGACGTACCATACATCTTTCATATTTATAAAATTGTAGACTTTACCCTACAAGTTAAAAAATATGGTTTTACAATGTAAGGAAGAAAGATAAAAAAATAACCCCAAATAATGAGCCATCCATCATCATGAATGACTTTAATGCCCACTACCTGGACTGGAACGATCCCATGACACTGAACAACATATTAAAGTTTCCTTACTAAGTTCCAAACATGCCACATGTGTCAAGGGAGGAGTCTTAGACCTGACTTCCTTCTCCACTTCACTAATATCTGTTTCAAGCTGATCACTCCACCCATTTCTCACTTCAGACCATATAGCTACAGTAACAGTTTACAGTTACCACGCATTCTCATAACTTCCTTCAAGCATTTTCACATACCCAAAAGGTGCAGGTACAGGAGACAACATTATCACACTTAATTCACTAATAGACGCACATGGCAATGTAGTATTCTTTTTAGATTTAGAAAAGACATGTGGACTAGCATATAAAGACACCATACTTTCTTTACTAGTTGAAAAAGGCCTCAGGAGGAAACTCCTTTGTTGGCTATAGGATTATCTGATAGGAAGACAAGCCAGAGTCAGATTCCAGAACCAGAACAGGAGAGTAATTTCTGATCGCCAACGCTACTTAGGAAACTTACCCCTTGAGTGGGTTCCATCATACGAATGCCTAGCATCTACTTTAATTCTGAACTGTCTGCCAATACACAACTCTGATACCTCTTAGAAAGAACTAAGTCCCATCTCAGCATTCTCACTAAGCTTACATCTTACAGGTGCAATACATGTGCTGGGTTTAAGGTTTTACAACTCTTTTATACCTATGCAATCAGATCCTTAGTTGACTATAGTGCTCCAGCTCTAATAACCTGATCAGCTAGTTTCCCGGGAAACAATGCAAAACCGGGCAATGAGAACTATTCTTGTTGCCCCTAGGATGGCCGACCTAAAAGTAGAATCTTTCTTCCATCTCACAACAGAATTAGGCAGATTTCTGTCACACTGTGTGCAAAATTCATTATACTCTCAAGGCCTTCCCCCTTAATGTCCTTTACTCACATGCTCCAGTACCAAGACTTGAACCAGGATTTAAAGTGGCACGCCGATTATTATGTGCAAATTACCTTTTCAGTACTGCACCTCTCCTCACAACAAAGGGAACTGATAGTCCTAACCCACGCTATCGCCCTCAACCGCTATGGAAGGATTAATTTATACAGTTTCATACCAACACCATTCCCACAACGAAGGCACTATGCATTCCTGCTATGATAGCATAATTAGAGGTGAACATAAATGCACTCAGAATTAAGAACATTCTTCTCATTTTCACCAATGGATCAGTCGAAGAGAGCAAAGGCAAAGCAGGTGCAGCGTTTGTACCAGATGACAAAAAGTGTATCAAATAGCGCATCCACCCTACAGACT